CACTGCACCACAAAGGCATGCTAAGAAGGCGGGAGAAATACTTTATATACTCCCCCTTTTAAAGGGCGACTGGGGATTAGGGAATCCAGTCGCCAAATCATGGTGGTGGAGAATGCTCATCCACTATCTTTTTTTAGTTCGGGCCCTACTGTAGAGACATTAGGATATTTAGAAGCAGGTGACATGAAAAATGTGCAGTGCCCTCGCCGTGATTCGAACGTCGGACCTCTCGAATGCGCGCCGAGTGTGCTGTCCATTACACCACGAAGGCATGCTAAGAAAATACCTTATAGTGTCAGTGCAGTTGGTGTGAGATTTAAAAACGAATGAAACAATCCGTAAAAGGAATGAAACAATCCGTAAAAGGAATGAAACAATCCGTAAAAGGAATGAAACAATCGGAATAAAAAAGGAAAAATCCATGACATATTTCTTGTCTCTTTATGATGGGAAAGAAAGAAAAATAGTACGCTTTAAGGTAACATTCTCTTCAAAGAACAGAAAATAGTCAACGTGTACAACGTCGCATTTCTGTTCACAATAACTTGTTTATTAACAGTTGTATGATGCAAAAATATTTTCTTCAATTTAATCACTAAATCCCTAACAGCAGGGGTCGATCATATAAAGTCAAGTAGATAATTATATTCAAATTTCTTTCAGTAAACAGACTATATTTTAATGAAAGCACTTTGAGAATTTATGAACTATTATCATGTAATTGTTTTTAAAGCACCAATAATAAAGAATGACGTTGACAAAGACAAAACTCTTCTATAGACAAATAGCTTTTCTGGGCTAGGCTATGATTGCTTAAAGGAAGAAAGAAACAAATTTTCGAAATGTTGAGAAATAAGCTAAAAGGAAGCAAAAAATTATTATTTAGTTATAGTTTCTGCCATATACTTAATTGTATCTCATATACATATATGCTCTCCTTTAAAACTAGTAATGCATTAAAATGTTTATGCATTTAAATTACATTTATTGAAATACTTATGAATTTCGGCATCACAGATTTCCTCAATGTGTCTCTTTAAAATCAGATTGCGGAGGAAACATTTTTTCCGCCTATTATTTTTCTGCCTTTAATTTCCCTAAAGGTATTATTGATTAAAGCGCGACACCCAGTTACTGATTCTAAGCATCAATAAAGAATAACTAAAGATTTGCTCACGTGGTAGCTTTTAATTTCACTGAATTTCCTCCAAGACATATGCCATGAAACACATAAGGAAGTGCCTTCTATTCTATTTGGTAACGGGATAATTAATTGTTTTGCGTTGCTTTGTTCTTTTCTGTAATAATACGTTGGGATTAAAATGTCAAAAAACTTCATATCTTGATCCTTGAAAATGATGAAAGAAGGTATAAACAACACTTTTTGTTAATAGTTCTGTCTTTTTCTGTTTGACATATTTTAGTAAAATAGAGCAGTTACAAATAAGGATTTATTAGCAGTTACAAATAAGGATTTATGTTTTTAAGATTTGTTGTTAGTTTCATGATCTTATGTTACACTCATTAGAAAATTTGGAGACGTGACTGAAGGCAAAAATTTTCTGCTTCGTGTTTGATTTATTTGAAATGTATGAGCATTTAAAATTATGTTAATATTTAATCATATTTATTGTTATTTTTCTTTGTCAAATCAAATGGTTTAGACACATGCAACGGTACCAGAAATGGATCAGAAAGAAAATAAGTCACCTTTTCTCTGGATGAATGTTTTCTTGCGTAAGTGAGATCTAAAAGTGTAGGGCAATAGCGCAAGGGAGTAACAGCCTTTCTCCAGAGTTGCTTAAACTCCTGAACAAAATGCAAAACAGAGTCTGCCGAAAGTGTTTTTTTCCCTTGTAAAATATCAAAACAGTGACTTCTAGCCTTGCTGATGTCTGTGATTCAGATAACACTAATTAAGAAGTCCGTTTGACAGAAGCTGTGGAATTTGTAGGGTATCTATTATTATTATTATTATTACTTTACCATTATTCTTGCACAGCTGCTGTGGATTTTTCGATGCTTCTTCTTTACACTGCTACCTTTCTTTCTGTTAGATTGTGCAACCAATAGCTGAATGGATAAGACCTATAAACAATGATAATTAGAAGAATCTGGACAAAATTAAGCATGGGCTCAGATCCTGGAAAATAGGCATGAGCTTTTTCATGGTTTTCCCCAAGCCTTCTTATGAATTTTTTCAGAATGGCATCCCTTCTTCTAGGCAGTTACCACTCGTGTACTTTGCCACCATCTACTGCAAGAGTTTGTTCTTAGCAAGTGTCGAATGGATAGAGCTAGAAGATAAATTTTATATATTTGGCTGCCTTTCAAAAGAACCCACAGATTACCGCGAAAGCTACTGTGACTGTTAATGCTATACAGTGAAACCAGACGCCGCATGTGTGGCTAATTTTTCATATACATAATCTATCTAATAAATCCATTAAAATGATGATAAAAATGAGAAAAATCTTAAAAGTTATAATCAGTATTTCTTTTCCGAGATTGAAATATTTAAAAGAAGTTAAATAAAAAATTCTTTGAGGGATACACCTACTCTTTTTCGAAATTTGTCCTCAGAAAAAAGAGCTTGATACATGGACATATAAAACTACGACTATCACTAAAGACATTCATTAAGTCTCCTCTCGAAAGCAGACTAGTAATGATTATTACAACATATTGATGAAAATAAACATATTAATATGATTCTTTAATTCATTCGGAACTGGTTAATTCTCAAATTTGTATGTAACTGGAAATAACATATTCCTGTAAATAAATTTAAATGTTACATTAATTTACCTACCAGTTGCAATTCCGGAGCTCACAAGTTTAGAATGAGGAATAGCTGAAAGCCACGAAACGCTAGTATCCCGACCCCCAAAACTATTCCCGAGTTTAAAAGAGCTCGCTGTGCTAAGTTCAATGATTTAGTGAGTGAAACCGTTTATGGCTTTTAATATTTTAGGAATGAAAAATGTGCTTAAAATGCCTTTTTGTGTTCATTTATGCTGGCTGAAATCTGACTAGATCCGGCAACATCTGTTCTGTAATATATAATAACGAATTTTATGTAACCCCATAAGCCCCTACGAGCACTTTCTAAAAATAACTGGACCCCCATGACTTCCATTAAATTATACACATCTTTTGCTTTGCAATAAAAAAGACAGGTGCACAACTAGATGCTATCGCGATCCCATATAAAAAATTTCAATGCTCTACAGCTAATCGTTTTTACGATGCGATGCGAGTTACATACATACGTGCATACGCCCGCACGTACAGATGTCACGAACAAATTCCTTTTGAAAACATTTTAAATTTATTTTAGAGTTCGCTTTAGAAAAAATATAATCCCTTATTCTGTGCGTGCGTACAGACTGCACTCGAAAAAAATTCGTTCAAAGGGATCCGGGGAAAGTCAAAATGAATAATTTTGTGTCGTCATTCTTATATGTTGGTAAATTACGCATTTTTTAAAGTGATTTAATTATGTGCTTCTTATGTTTCGTTCGGTTAAGGTTTATTTCTTTAGTTAATTTGCATGCAATAGTTGTTGAATTATCAACAATTTAAAAGTTTAAGTGGCGAGTTAACCCTAACGCCTATGGCGGCTAACGAATATTTGTTTACATTTGAAACTCAGTAGAATAGTGATTAAAGTCAGTTTCTGCACCTTCATTGTCTTTTGCCGAGTGGGATCAAAAGTAAACTTTCAGTTCTATTCACCGAAAATGTGCCTTCTTGCTCGCTGGAAAAATATTTTGTTTTTGAGCAGAAACTCTAATTTTAATTCTGATTTTTTTAAAAAACTGTATTTGGTGTTTTATGTTTCTCTGTATTTTACAATTTTTTTTTTCCCGCAGGTAGGTTTTTAGGTTTAACCTAAACCTTATCGAGGGTTTATCTTCATTAGAAGAAAGTTAACAGTCACTATGCGGACGGTGACATTTTAAAATTTAGGGAAGCTGGTTCTCTGAATGCATTGATGGAGGGGAAAATTATGCGAATATTTTTAAAATTTTCAGAAGTTAGCTCTGAACTATTAGGAGGCAAACAATACGCGAGGAAATAAGATAAACGAGAGCTAAATGTGGTTGTCCCTAAATGGAACATGCCAGAAAAGAACTAAATAAAGTTCTTCATCCATAATAGTTACACTTATCTTCTAATTAAATGATATTGGAATATCAATAAAAACAAAATACTAATTGAACATTTGGTGGATAAATAAATTCAGGGCGAAACTCGGAGACATCTTTAATAGTCGATGACCATATCGCATTTAACATATTGCAATACTAGTAGACATGATCACGTGTGGTTTATGATGCAGAATATGTTCTTAGGTTTAAATAAATCTTTTGTTTATCAGTGAAACGTAACTCCATTCTCTGAATATAAATAAAGCAATTCACTTTTAAAATAATGGATAAAGAGAGATTTAAAAAGGGACCCAAAGTGCAGCTAATATATACTATTTTTTAATATTTTTAAACTTTTCCCTACCATCAAATAGTCTTCAGAAGAAAAAAAAAAAAAAAAAAAAACTTGGATTATTCACAAATGGAGTTTTATCATTCCGAAAGAAATGGTGCTCTATTGTCACAAAATAATGAAAGAATTATCTTCAAGTTCTGCTTACCCGGAACAAGAAAGGAAATATTCCATTTTTCGCTCAAGTACTTGAATCTCGCATTAAAATATTTTTTAAAAAATTTCTTGTTATGAATGAATTTCCTTCATGTTATTTAAATATAACTTTGAAATGAAAATTTAAGTTTATTAATTCTAAAATGCATTCAAAATAATAACATTACTGTCGCAAATGGTACGAGCAAGAATGGCAATTCTTATTTTTTAAAGCCTGGCCATGGCTTGCATAAAAAAATATTTTATCCGAAATTTTTCTACTCCTGTTGGCTCAGATGAACGGAATTTTACTGAAGTGAAAAGGAAAAAATTATGCTAATTTATTATTTGCCTTTTAGGTAAACTGCGTCGTCAGCAGCGTGACCTCTTGGACTTGGCCGATATGTTTGACACACTGACTGGCCTTGACCCCACAGATTACATTCCGTATGGCAACTGGTGTGGTTACGGCGGCCAAGGAAAGCCGGTTGACCATATAGACAGGTGAATTCATCACTCAGCGTTCCCACTACTATTTTCGTCATACTAAAATAATATCCATTGCATACGAAAAATACGAATTAAATGTGTCAAGTACCTTTTTGTGTATATGCATAAAGTTGATGTAACGATTATGTGTTTTGGTTCTTATTTACAAACCTTGATCCAAATCTGAAGTTTTAAAATTTGAATGCGAAAATAAAACATTTAAATAGGTCGTACATGCAACTTAATGTGAGAAATTTATTTTCCTGTCATTTTCTTCCAGATAAACTAAACATTTTGTTTGCTAAGTGCAATGAAATGAGATTACAGGAAATTTCATTTTTTTATCTACATCGTTTAGTACTTTGCATAAACATGGAGACTGTCTTCAACTCTAATAAATGTATATAAATATAATGTAGCTGGCCAGGCCACGTCTACTACATCAAGCAGTTGGCAAGGTAATCTGTTTCAATGGATGTACAGTATAGTTTAAGAAGAATGTGTTAGAAATATCACAAACAAATCTAATTTAAAATCTTATATCAAACAAATCTATCCAAAGAATATGGCTTCTAATATTCAATATATATCTGAAACGCAAATCAAAATAATTGTTACCAGTTTTTAAGAGCGGATTTTAATACTCGAATGCGCTTTTCACATTTCCACACGTTGCCATCCAATAATAATGAGGAGTATTTATTTAGAATCGGAAAAACTTTATACACATAAACAGTATAATTTCATGAATCATACACCAAATTTACTATATTTTTAATTAAAAAGTTCGTCTATGTCGAACACATAATGTTTTTTCATACTTTCGTAAAAGAGAGATTTTTCATTAAATAACAAAAAAGTTATAATATGAATACCCACCTTGCTTTTTTTTCGTTGTTACACTGAAAAATTTTAATAAAAGGTATTTATTTAAGTATACAACATAATGTAATATTCATTTTTTTGCGTGTGAATGAAAAACTTTTATTGTGGTTCTTTCAGTATTTTCGTAATGAGTCACATTTATTTTTGCTTAGCTGCTGTCAAATACACGATGAATGCTATGGCCAATCGGAAAAAAAGTGTTCGAATGTACAAGTTCACGTGGTGCAGTATGCTTGGAAAATAAACAATGCAACAATTATCTGCAGTAAGTTTCTCAGTTTTATGAATTTTTTAATAGGTATTGGCAATGATTTTTTCATATTTTGCTTAAGAAAAATTGCAATATAACAGTATTACCTAATAGACTGTTTTTAGTTGCGTTAATCAACCTTGCATTCGTGCTATGTTTCAGGGATTTTCAGTTATGCGGAAAATGAAAACAAGATTTCAGAAATTTTAAAAAATAAACGTACAATTGCATTAACTATCCTTGTTATTTTTTTTTTCATTTGTTAAACTTTATAGAGTCTATGGATATTCTTTGGTAGCATACAAGTTGGACTCTATATAAAAGACGAAGTAGCGAATTCTCGCTATGTCTTGAAGAATAAAGACTGCAGAAAAAAGATTTGGCTCTAGTGTAGAATTGGGTGCCCTTTCGATTAGCGACAATTTTTTTTTTTTTTTTTTTTTTTTTTTTTTTTTTTTAATTTTGGCGATGAAACCTCACTTCTGGTTACCATGATAGTTTTAACTTTGTTTTAGCTTCCTGATTTTATTTAAATGAAAATAGATTGAGGTGTACATGGACAAATTTAAGGCAGTGCGCAATGCCTAGTTTGTGTAATTCTAGGATGCTTTTTTAAGTGAAAACAGATCGATGTGTACATGAACACAGAGTTTGTGCAATTCTTTGACTTCTCATTTTGGTTTTGTGTAGCAGCCATCTTGAAACTGTGCCTTCCTGACTCCGATCTTGGCGTCAAAAAAGAATCGCCACGAAACAAGGGGCACCCAATTGTAAACTTTTACCAAAGATTTAAACAACCTTTTTATTTAAACTGAATTAAAAAATACGCACGCACTTCGTGCTCACAAGTCATCACCACTTGTGGCTACGTAAATTAACAGAAAATAAGAATGTAACAAATCACTAGTAAATTAAGATATCTAATGAGTGGCTCCTTAGCTTAACTAACGGTAAATCGGCTGCACACAGCAAAGTCGAACCGATGAATATCAGTATAAACTGAAAGGTGTCTAACACCGACTAAAGAGTTAGATTCAAATACATAGCATAAACTCGGAACTAAATCCGCTAGTACTCTTTTTTGAACTCTTGAAAAGCAGCTTAATACTGCTTCAGAAACAGGTTTAAATTTGAATACTACGTCATACAAATTTACATTCCGGCAGGAAACTGAAATCGGGAGGGAAAGGAAAGTCAAACTAAAAATAATTGGTTAGAATAAAATAAATCCTTGCAACTTGCATTGCATTATTACACAAGTATGTGCAATTTTGTTGATTTTGTCATCTGGTTCATCAAATGTTTATAAATAAGTGGGATATTTTTAAACTTTTGGCCTCAACATAATTAAAAATAAAGTTGAGTGATTGATGACGCATATTCAAATTTAAAAATTTTAAATAATATTTACAGGAGTGTCTTTTCCCGAGATAAAGTAGAACGCAGTTTTATTGATTATATAGCACGTACGATATACTATCTGCTACATAATACGTGCGTAATGGCAATAATATGATATTTTAACAAATAACAGATGCTGAAATTCCCAGTAAAAGTGTAATCAATATTAATTCATCTTAGTTGACAGCATGACGTAATTAGGTTTTCTTTCTTAAAAAATATTCATTCAAAGTGTTCACAGACCCCATTTATGCAACCGAAGCTTAAGACGTCTTGTGGCCACTTTTTGAAAAGTTTTCTTTTTAATTAGCCTATTAGCTAGTAGATTCTAAGAATAGAGCAAATTCAAGTGACAAAACACCTAAATGTAATTTGTTGTTAACCGAATGAGCTTTGTCTTGAATTAGTTCAGGGCGTATCTTTGTCTCGATAAAACAACTGTTTCGCGCAGTTTTTTTCTCAGGACCTCACAAAAGAGAATAACTCTGGTATTTGATCAAATTCTGGACTTCTGTGTTGTCTAATTGCAGCTAAGACTGCAGGTACGCATAGCTAATATATTTTAAACGAAAGCTATCCCATAGTAATTTAGTTTATTTACTTTTGAAGTAATGTAGTGAAGTACGATCATTTCAAAACATTCTTAAAAAATATGTTTTTCTAATGAAGTATGAAGTATGAGTATTTCCAAGGATGACGCTTTGGTAATAAAAATGTTCTACATCGTATTTTTCGTGTTTCCCGTTCAGAATGCATCGATAAGTTGCTTGCGAAACTCAATTGCATATTTTTTCGATACGCTTATCGTTATTTTCTTGTTCTATTGCATTTCAAATGACTTGTACAACCTATATAGTATCTTAAGAAAGATGCCTCTTGGAATGATATTTTCTACACTTATCAGCTATATCTGCGGATTATGCATTCGTTTAACTTTAATGAAAAAAAGAAGAAGTATTTTTCTTATGTTAGACTGTGTGAAAGAACTATACGTCGATATGGGAACGGAATACTTTCAGCACAAAAACAGAAGACTCAAATTCTTTTTATTTGGCAGTATTGCCACCATTTTGCCTGCATTCCATACAGGATATTATCTTCTTTCTTGTATGTCACCAATGAAGCTAATCATCCATCAGCAACACACTTTTTTCGGATGGTACTCGAATACAACATGGATATCCCTATCTTCAGTGGTAATAGTAGATGCTGCCGTTCAACAGCAACTTTACCTTCTCCCAGGTCTTTGTATAGTATTTTGTTGCTATATCTTCAGTAGCATGAGCATAATTGTTTTCTCTTTCAATGAAAAACTTAAAAATCTTGATTGTTGGTCACCGCAAGAAATTTTACGCTACTTTGCAAAATACTCACATAGAATGTTTGTTTGTATAGAGAAGATTGAAGATTCGCTATCGTCACTGGTAGGTTTGCTATATGGGTATATGATGTGGAACATACTAAGTGACATGACATTATTCATAAAATGCTCAGTGAGTCAAGAGGAATTCGTTAATCATCTGATTGAAATGGCATCGCTTGTAGTGGTAATTCCCGCTTTTCTCTTTCTTAGTTTTAATGCAGCAAATGTTCATGATGCTGCTTTGAAAGTGAAACAAACCATGCATAGACTTGTAACGCATAGCAGTCAATATGAAGAATGTACGGTGTTGCTGAACATGGCGGAAAATTTTCCCTCAAGGGCTATCATCACGTGTTGGCGGATGCTTGCTTTGAAAAGAGGAATTGTGTTGCAAACTGCCAGTGCTCTTTTTACCTATGGTATAATAATAACTCAAATTGAAGGAACACTTCATTATCAACCTGAGGATTTAAAAAACTGAAAATGCCAATTACTTTTTAAATACGAAACAGTCATTGAATATCTGTGTGGGTTGCAAGCACACATCTTCTAATCTATGAGTTCATTGTTAAATATGTTACTTCAGCTGAAAAAAGAAACATTGACAGATTTAATTACTGTATTTAATCGCGTAATAGTCGCACATTTTTTGCTAATTTTTCATCGTGAAAGTCTTGGTGCCACTATTATGCGGGAAAATCTAGTACACAATATTGTACACTTTTGGCGATTTTTTCCGCTTCAAAACGGGGGTGCGACTATTGCGCTAGCAAACACGGTAAATTGAATTTATTTTGAATTTAGACACTAGGATCATATTTAAAAAAGTAACAATTCAAACATGATTCGATATTAAAGCATTAAATCAAATCTACAAATTAATGCCAGTTGGTTGAAATGTTCTTATTTTGAAATTTTAAGCTAATACGTACCACATATATCTGCTGTTAATATTACTTTTTGCTCTGGATTTGTGCCGATATTTGTAGCTTGTAACGTCTATATGCTTGTCTCTGCTGTATCAAGTAGACATTAGTGCAAATTTAAAGACATCCAAGTACTTAAATTTAATGAGATAAAACATCTTATTTCGGGGACAAAAATAAGATGTTATGCATAACAATGTTAACTAAATTAAGGCTAATAAAAGCTTTTAAATCTGAAAACGAAAAGGCAAATGGGAACTACAATCATGAAATGTAATTTCTAAACATTATTAACACTTCAAAGTGTTTCTAAACATTACTGACTGTTCTAACAATGTTTTTAAGTAAGTAAAAGGATTTAATTAGAAATACTTTCACTCGAAAATATAGCTTTGAAATGATTTGAAAATTAGGCCTAACAGTTACTTAAGCTACAAGTAATTATCTGCGGCTTTTAACAAGGTTCATAAGTGATTCTTCTAATATATGAGGGAAGTTTTCAGTGAACTTCAATCCTCAATTGCCCCAAACCACCTCCATCTTTTTTCCGCACTACCCTCAAATCAAGAATCTGCAAAATTGTTGCTTTCAGAAAGAATTTTGCAGATTGATGCATTTGGCAGTTCGACAAGCGATTTATTTATTTATTTATTTATTTTCAATTTGATTTTGGATTGCCGAAAAATAATTCTCACATATTCACCTCGTCCATCTCTGCCATTGCAGTTTAAAGCATCGAAAAATAATATAGAAATTGCATCTAAGTTAAAATAGCAAACAGCTATAGATTCGTATGTATTGTTGGTATTCAAGTATGCCATTTATGTAACTATTGAAATGTTACATAAATGGCATACTTGAAATGTTGCATAAATAACTCACTAAAATGCCTATTTAATTACGAGATATGGAAATAAATTGAGCTGAAAATGTTTCACAGCATAACTGTATTTTTATGAGCAAGAATCAGATTCAAATGATTTACTTTCTGCTGAAATATGAAATTTCTGTTTCTGTAATCGTATGAGGGTGACGGTTCAGTCTAGCTCTTTTGTTTCTTTATTACCAAAATTTATGAAAACCCTTTTATTCTTCTACTAAATTCTCATTGCAAGATCCAAATAACATTTAAAACAAAAATGGAAACAAAATAAATGAGCACAATAAGATTAGAGCATAATATCAGCTAACACATTTGGGAAATGAAGCTTAAAATAAATACACCAAAACTTTATTCATGAAATACCTTTGTAAAGGCAAATAGCCTTTTTGAAATCTTTGATAACTATAAATTTATAAATTAAAGCCAATTTTTTTATATTTGAAAGAAGAATTTAATCTTAGAAATGAGCGGTGTGTTATTCTTACACAGGGCTAGAAAAAGAAGAGAGGATCATTGGTGCACTTTTAATAAAATTATAAATTGATGATTAACAATCCAGATTCATACAGGAAAGTGTTTTTAAGTGTTTTTCTAAAGGTTATAAGGTATTTCTCCCACTTCCCTAGCGTGCCTTCGTGGTGTAGTGGTTCAGCACACTGGGTCGATATTCCAGAGGTCCGTGGTTCGATTCCCGGCGAAGGCGGTTGCATATTTTTTATCTTTCTGGCTTCCAAAATATCCTAATGACTCTACACGTGGCGCCAGAACTAAAAGGGTGGTGGATGATGATTCTCCACACCCAGGATTTGGCGACTGGGTCCCCTAAAAACCCCAGTCGCCCTTTAAAAGGTGGATTATATAAGGTATTTCTCCCGCTTTCTTGGCATGCCTTCGTGGTGTGGTGGTCTGCACGCTGGGTACGTATTCCAGAGGTACGTGGTTCGATTTCCGGCGAAGGCGTTGCATATTTTTCATCTTTCCTGCTTCTAAAAAATACCTAATATCTCTACAATGGCACATGAGGTCTATTTACTTATCTTCACACAAGTTCAGACTAAAGGCAGTCATGCAAGACATGTAATCTAAGTGAAGCTGCCGAAGAAAACGATGAACAAGAATGACTCCTCTGTCAAAATGAGTTTAATGTTTTTCATAAATATTTTTCCCAAATATTTTTCACAAATATATAAATATTGCATATTTTATGCTTTTATTTTTATACCTTTGCATATTCAAGAAACAAAATTTTCTTACATTGTCTTAAATAATATAAGGAATATTTTATTATTACTTGAAGTTACAAAAAAACTTGATGAAAATTAAGAAAAGTAAATCATTTTCCAGCAGTGCATAGTATTGTTTTTAACATTTATAAAAATATCCTTCATTTTTTTAAATAATGGGCTTTTTATTTTCTTTGTCGCAATGTTCTGCGATTTCTTTAACATCAAATATTAAGTTGTGAACATCTTGCTGCTGTTCATTAGACAGAAGTTTTCAAATATAGAAAGGAATTATTATAATCTTCGTTCTTGTAAAACGTTCAATATAGTTATGATTCGTTGACAAAACACATACTTTTGTTTAAACTTGCCAATAGTAACGCTAGTTATAATTAGCATGGGAAAATGGGAGGTTCACAACAGCGTTGAGCAGCGAATAGCCATTAGATCTTTGACTGACGAAGATGACATTATTTCTCAGATTTATCCGAGACTTAAAAATCATATTGAAATATATTTCTCTTTCTAGAATGTATTTTTCGCGCACGTCTTTTTAAGAAAGCCAAGTGAGTGGTGGAAATGCACCATATGTTCATCACCTGAGCATCTAAGGCGATGAAGACAAACTGACTGCTATTGATGCACTAATTCGTATCAGTCGGATAATCACTGTCAAAGGAATCGCGAAGGAGCTTAAAATAAATGTTGATAGTGGAAAAAAATGAGTTGAATATCGTTTTAAATTTAATAAGTTGAGCACTAGGTGAGTTCCCCGTCTTTTGATGCCTGAACACAAAGTGGGAAGTTTCATTGTTTGCGGCGATATGAAAAGAATGAAGACAAGCGTTTATACTGTATAATGATTTGAAACCATGGGTGACTACTTCACTGCAGAGTCATAACGGGCAAACATGGATGGCAAAGAAATCCAAGTCTAACGGAGTTGTAAAATAATGCATCAAAATGTATTTTTATTCTTCTGGAATTAAACTTCATGGGAGTTGGAGCAAATGGTATTGCAGTGACAGGTATCTGTACATAAAACAGTACTAAGTCTTTTCGCTGTACTCAGTAAATAAAGCTTAGCTGATAAATTCTTGTTTATATTTGGATGCCTCTCACATGAACAACAATAACAGGTAGACTAGAAGAGAAACACGCTAATGTGACAATCAAAATCGTAAAAAACAACCTTATATTTAGCGTAGGTATAATGAAACACTCAATCGATTTCGAGGGCAGCTAAAGGTCCCTCCTCATCAGGAGAAAGAAATACATAGAAAGAAGAAAATAGGAGAAGGAGTCACAGAAACACGTAGTGCTTATCAGCACTGCACGTGGTTATAACTAGATTTTTAATCAGAGTTGCACTGGCCGCCTACTTTTACTGAGCCAGGCTGTCTGATCAAGCATAAAGAAATATTAGCGAACTTAAAATAGGGAGCGAGGGGTAAATGCACCTTACGCTCAAAATCTGAACTTCAAATTTCAGAAATAACTGCGAAAAGTAATCAAATTTGTTCACATTCAATAAATTTTCCAGTAGATTTACTTTTCTTTTAAAATTATAGGTGACGAAGCGAACTGTGAAGCAAGCATATGTAAGTGTGATAAAGAAGTTGTGGAATGTATCGCGCAGCACAGTCACACGTACAGTGAATATTACAGATTTATAAGGAAGTCTAGATGACCAGCCGCAGTTAAATTTGAAAACTTTTATCTTGTAAATACATTTCCAGATCTAATATACTACGGAAGCTTTACTTCCAAAGATTAAATCCCAAGAATCAAAATACTTTATGTATCCAAAGTTGAGCATTATTTTTATTTGTATCACTAAATTTTTTTTAAATAATTGTTTATCCTGTAGGAAAAAAATATTAAAAAGAGTTCACTGTATTTAATAGTGTGAATAAATTTTGTTGTGTGACTTAAAATGCCTGTTTGAGAAAAATAAAATTAAAAAAAAATCTGTACGTCCAAACGGGCGTTTTTTTAACGTTTTGTGTGTAACCTTTATTTATTAAATACCATGTTCTTTGCAATCATAAAATTCAGTTCAATAGCAATATCGCAAAATAATTTTAAAATTAGCATATTTTTAAAATTTCTGATACAGTTACGCACGGTGGAGATAAAAAAGTTTTTTTTCTTTTTTTTCCGTAGAGTGTTGTTATTGCTCGTTTTGAAATCCTTGAGTTTGTTAATCAAAAATTCGTTAAAGTTTTACAAAATATGAAATCGATCATAAAACAAATTCCAAATCTCAAATTTGGTCTTCCACATGCCTATATATTCGTAGGAGGATTACGTCATTCAAAATTCGATGGCTCTATGTACCGTTGCTTTATCACAATGCGAGAAATATACATACATTTATGCAGTTTTTCATTATTTAATTGCTTCAAATATAATGCAGGACTCTAACATTTGGTGGCAACAGTTTGAAAAGTGAAACGGACATTTATAGCGATTCAACACAAAATAGCAAAACGAAAACAATAGTTCTTCAGGGACAAAACCATTTTGGATTAATAAGCCAAATGCAATGAAAATTTAAAATTTTAGCTATAGAAAGTCATTTTCATTAACATATTTATGCTATTTTAAATCTACGTTCATTGTGTTATCTTCTGTGTACAGTGAAATAACTTGTGGAGAACTAGGGACTGCAAATTTTATATCTTATTAAAAACTTAATTTATAAGCATAAATAATAAACATAAAATAATAAATTATTATAAGCTTATAAACTTAATTTATAAGCATAATAGCTGCATAGTATTACAGTTTAATCTAAAATATGTTAATTAAATTTTTGAACGGAAAATGACATATAAATCTAAGTCGTTATTTAAAATTCATAAATTACGTACTTAACAGTTTGATTGTCATTGAAAAAATTTTTATTTGAGTAATGATAAAAATTATTTGAATGGTGTATCAGGTTCAATGTTCCGTCTTACCTTCTTCCGGAACATGCAAGGACCTGACCCGGAACAGAGAGCTTACTAAAGCTATGTTCAAAACTGTGGGAAGTAGACAGGATACACAAGAAGGGTATACAAAACCCTTCATTTTTCTCTATTTACAATAACTTCCGTACTTCGGAATACACAGACCCGCTACTTGGGGTCTAAACGTAAAATATAAAAATAAACTAAACTCTAATTTAACTTTAAATAATAAACGTGGAAGATTGGCCTTATATTAACAGGAAGCCGTATGTAGTACAGAGAACTGTGAACAACTACAATACGTTTAAAAATTATCAAGAGGATTAAAACCTCTGGCCTGGAAGGCAACCAGCAACTGAGTAAAACTTCTAAGGTAAGCGGCCTGCTTCGACTAACTGCTTCCTCTCTCTCGCTTGGCAAAAAGCCACAACTTAAATACTTGGCGTTCGCCAGACAAACTTTGCATAAATAATTAACGCTTATAATTCTGGCCGGAAGTAGAAAATAAGAAGTGATAGTAAAGATTTAAAATAAAATAAACGTTAGTAAAACTTAAGATCCTTACATACTTCCCGCCAGAGTTAATTAGTTTGAAACTGAGGTCTAAAACGACCTTGTTGAAAACTTTTAGCTCTAGAATCTAACGCGAGGCCAATCTTTTACAAACATTTTCGCTAGAAAACTAGAAATTTAAAAAAAAGAAATTGTTTTTTTTACAATAGCAGCTCCCAGGACACACAATTTTTTTCATCTGTACTGCATCTAAACAGGAGCTTTTATTCAAATCTGGTTCCTTCCAGAGATCTGGAAGGAAAACTAGTTTAATGAAATGTTACACAATGAAATGGCAAGTAACATGTATATTATATTTCTCTTAACATTCTTATTTCATTCATGACTATTTTAATTATCTCTCCCCGTGCTCTCTGACATGTGTTGTAAAAGAACACCAAACACGAATGTGTTTATGTCTACGTGTTCAACACTTCCTCCTACAATCAAAACACTAACGTGTTAAAATTCAACATACCAAGACCTCGTAACACACCCTAATTCAACTCTAAACCCTGAGGTACTATTCTGAAAGTGGCTAACTCTGAAGTGTAGCGTCAGAGAGCCTAACTACATCATTCATTCAACCTTTAACACATATTCACCATGATTTAGTCTTTTTACAGTCACACGAATAAAAAAAAATTTTTAACATTACTTTCACTTTTACCATATCACGGTATTTCTTAACATTTAAAATGACAGTTCACATTGTATATAAGAACATATTAACATGCCGTTAATTTTACACATTTGAAAACATACATTAGTAGTACATTGTTAACTTCTATTCTTTTCAAAGCAAGTGCCAATTCTTTCTACATTGAAATACTACATTTCAAAAAGTCTTTCAGACTAAAACTTCTTTCTTGCCAGAATGTTTTAAATAAAATTTATACAATAACTTTTTACAATATTTAAGTCTTTACACAACGCTATTATACATCAACTTTAGTTTTACGCGCGAGTAATTGAAAAACATAATACCAAAATCGGTAACAACTCATTTTCTCGCCCTTTTGGCGATAAAGGTAGACCTCGCATGAGGTAAAACTTCTTGAAATCTGCCACTTGCAGTAAGAATGAAAGATTAACTTAAGTTTGCAAAGTAACATAAAATTTTACTTATCTTTGTGATATTCGGACATTCTTTTCTGGCCCAGTCCTGGAAAGGTAGCGCAGATTCTGTTTGATTTATCCTCCTTCTTGTGCGGGCTCGCCCTTCAGTGCCTTCCTCTAGAAGCTTTCTTTTTTCCTCCAGTTCGGTCACCCTTGAATACCTTCTTTTTCGCCTCTGCCTGTGGTCTTGGCCGTTTGATGGCAGCTGGTCTTGGCGGAACCGGGAGAACTTCTTTCGTCGTTCCTGCTTGGACCTCGTTGCTGGCCGTTCAAATTTTTCCTTGTAACTTTTCCTCCGCCGCTGGTGGCCCTTCCGCAGTTCGGCGACATTTGCTGCGGAGAGTCCTGTCGGATGAGATCTTCTCCGTTTTAGAGCCGGGTTATAGTTGCCGTCATTTCTCCTGGTTCTCTTTGCATACGTCGTCCTTCTCCCTTCTTCATTCTGGGGGTGTTCGTGAGCTCTCTTTTTTTCTGGACGGTGGAACGGCTTCTTTTTCTTGCTTACCTTCAATTTTTCCGCGGGGAAACTTTCTTTTCACTTGCTCCTGCCTCTTAATGGCTTGCCCTTGTACTTGTCGTTTTTTCCACCTCTGGAGCTTGTGCCTGCGGTGTCTGCCGTGCCGGATCCTGCAAAAGATCTTGGAAAATTTTCATTTTATTACGATCATAGTAGGGTTTGATTTGATCAATGTTTGCGGAGCAGGTTTCACCATTTCTGGCTTTTAACACTACTACAGCGTGAGTTATTTTTTCTATAACATATGGTCCTTCAAATCGTGGAAAAAATTTGGCAGTTTTATCTTCTGGTGCTGAAGAAAGTGAATGCTTAATTTTTAAAACTTCATCCCCTACTTTATAAGTTACTCCCCGTCGTTTCAAGTCATAATACAGTTTTTGTTTTCTCTGTGCTACTTCAGTATTCTTTTTGCTTCTTTAATTAGTTTTTCTATATCACCCATTTTAAATTCTGGGGCTCTTTGTTGCACATAAAATAATTTATCTAACGGCGTTATAATCTTTCTTTCTGCCTAAAAATAACTCAGCAGGAGTTTTGCCCGTTGTATCATGTTTTGCGGTCCTAAGGGCGAAAGCAAATTCATTGACATAGTTATCCCAGCTTTTATGAAAATTTTTAACATAACTACGGATAATTTTCACTATATTTCTATTGACCCGTTCCGCTATATTTGATTGCGGCCGATACGGGACCATTTTTAAATGACGTATGCCCAGTTTTTGGCACATGTCTTCAAATACATTACTTACAAATTGAGGACCATTATCCGATATAACTTTTAGGGGCGCCCCGTATTTTAAAATATATTTATTTAAAATAGAATCAGTAACTAATTTCGCGGAGGCTCGTTTTAAGGGAACAATTTCGGTCCATTTACTAAAATGATCAACCATAACAAGGAGATAGCGACTTTTATTTAACTGACTTTTTGGGAAAGGGCCCAATAAATCGATGCCAATTATTTCATTTGGAAATTCGGATTTAATACTATTTAGAAACCCGGCCGGGCGGAAATTAATATAATTAACTGCTTGACATGTTGGGCAGGACTGGACATACGCCCTTGTTAACTTTTGCAGTTCAGGAAAATAGACTGCCTCGCGTACGCGTTGGATAGTTTTTCGAATACCAGCATGAGAAGCTAAAGGGCTGTCATGGAGCTCCTGCAGGATATTTAATCTAAGACTAGCTGGGATAACAGGTCGAAATTCGTTGTTGGAATTCGTAGTTTTTGTATAAAATAATAGACCATCTATTAGTTCGTAATGGGCCGCCCTATTTCTTATCGCCACAATATCTTGGTGGCTAAAATTTTCAGGATCCTTTAAATACTCATAAATGCTTCCAAACTCAGGATCCTTACCCAGTTCGGTTATTACAGTTTCTCGGGAATTTATTGTACATGCTGTGAGCATTGCCACCTTTACGGTATTACCTTCTTCATCTATTTTAATTCTGGATAGGGCATCTGCTACGATATTTTCCTTTCCGGGGGTATGCTTGATTACCAGATTATATTCTTGTAGCTTGAGTGCCCATCTTATATAACCTTGGGGATAAATTTTTTCCCTGAGTACAATCTAGTTACCGCCGCATGATCAGAGTACACTGTTATTGGCGCCTTTCCAAAATAGACTCGGAACTTTTGCACTGCTAACAGAACTGCAAGTGCCTCTCTCTCGGTCGCGGAATAGTTTCTTTGTGTTTGATTTAAAGTTCGGCTAAAAAATGCCACGGGCTGCTGATTTTGCGAAAGTACCGCTCCTACCGCATAATCCGAAGCATCCGCTGAAATTTCTAAATTCTCATCCTTTTCAGGAAATTTCAACACAGGGGCTTGCGTTAATGCTTGTT